TCAACTTGATGTTCATCTCGGGGAAGAGAAAGAAGTCGCATGGAGCTAAGTCTGGCAAGTACAGTGTGTGGGGAACAGCTGCCCTCTTCTTTTGAGCCAAAAATTTGTGCACAGTGTAAGCCGTATGCAGTCGTGCGTTGTCATGGTGGAGTATCCAGTCGTTCGTGCACCACTTCTCTGGGCGTTTTCTCCACATGCCCTCCCTCAAATGCCTTAGAACATCGCGATAGAACTCTTTATTGACTGTCTGACCAGGAGGGACGAACTCCTTGTGAACAATCCCGTCAGTATCAGAAAAACAGATCAACAAGGACTTAATGTTGCTCTTGACTTATCGAGCTTTTTTTGGCCGAAGTGAAGAAGGGCTCTTCCATTGCGACGATTGCTGCTTGCTTTCAGGGTCGTAGCCATAAACCCAACTTTCGTCACCGTTGACAACCTTTCAAAGAAAGTTTGGATCCTCTTGAAGCTGTTGCTAAAGTTCCCTACAGACTTCCAAGCGATGCTGCTTCTGTTCATTTTGCAGCAATCATGGCACAAACTTCGCTGCAATCCTCCTCATGTTCAGTTCCTCTGACAAAATTCGTTGACATGTACCATAACTTAGTCCCAAGGTGTTCCAGAGGTCTTGGATGGTCAGTCTATGATCTTGCAGAATCAGATCCCTAACTTTTGCGACATTTTCTGGTGTTTTGCCCATTGACGGCTGTCCTGAACGATCATCATCATCATCAGTCAACATTCGGCCATTTTTAAAACGCTTATACCAGTTGTAAGTTTGTCTCTGGCCTAAACTGTTTTCACCAAAAGCTTGGTTCAACATTTGGTGCATTTCTGCAGCGGTTTTCCCAAGTTTGGAACAAAACTTTATACAGACACGCTGCTCTCTCAGGTCAGCCATCGCAAAACCGCAAATTCACAGAAACACAACAATGGAAATACGTTCACCAACAATAAACCCAACCACTGAACTCGACGCCGCTTGCCACACTGATTCAAGAAGGATGTGTGAGGAGACACCTAGTGGTATTTCGATGTACTCATAACCATTTGTGCCTAAAATTCAAATTTCAGAAACTTTTGGATTGCCCCATGTAGAACAGTAACGTTACCACTCAGTTTGTACTGGGGGCACATGGTCGTGTAGTTGGTTAAGGCACTATGCTACAAGCTGGAAGGTTGCAGGTTGAAATCCCAGTTAGGTTCCTGCCCCCCAGTTTACCTAATCCTTCCAGCCACACTGTGGCCCAGGGGTTGACTCAGCCTCTAACAGAAATGAGGTCCAGGAATCTTCCTGGGGGTCTAAAGGGCAGCTGGCATGTAAGGCTGACAACCTGACATGCCAGCTGTGAGGTGACTGCCTAGAGCACCCGTGTCAAACATGCGGCCCCTCAACTTTTAGAGCTAATTGATATTAAACTCAATATTAAAATTTTAGTAGAAATATTTTTTGTAAAGACAATTTTCCAACAGACCAGAAGACAAGAAGTCTCACGCAGACAATGCAGGAAATGTCTCACGCAGGAAATTCAATGTTTTGCTATTTGTAACATAATTTCTTGTGTAATCTCTCTTTTTACGTATTGAAAAGCTGTTTGATACTTGTCAAAAATGGCATTCTCTTGCTTTTTAAAACTGTAAGATATGTGACTTTAGGTAATTATATTGAAATTATTCCTAAATAATAAATAGAATTAAATTTCCTTGTAACAAAATCTATTGTATATTTCTATTTTGAAGTGCAGCCCTGGACTATTATTTTTTATGGGGTTGAGGTGGCCCTCTGTACAAGTTGAGTTTGACATGCCTGGCCTAGAGGAAATGGGGACCCTTGATGTCTCGCAACCTATGGGCCTTCACACCCTGTTACAGGGATACCTTTACCTTACCTTGGTTTGTACTATTGTGAAATGTGATCCTTTAATGTGAAGAAAAACATTTTTTTTTATTGCTAGTGTGGTGGAACTAAGTGCCTTGTACTGCGGCCACTTCTGGCCTATTATACTAGCCCCAGATGATAGGTGAAGGTGATTGTGGAGCAATTGGTGAAATGAAGATTGGCAGGGGAATTCGAAGTACTCGGAGAAAGCCTGCCCCAGCATCACTTTGTCCACCACAAATCCCACTTGACCAGACCCAGGATGGAACCCAGGCCGCCATAGTGGAAAGCCAGCGACTAACCACTTGAGCTATGGTGCAGCCCTTTAAGTGTGAGGAAGAACATATTACTTGTACCACTGTTAAGTACTCAGGGATTTTGTGGTACATGATTAGGAATTTTTGAGAGTATATGGCCCACCCAGTATTGTTAGGTCAGTTACATTAAAGCAGGACTTGGCTGGGGACATTAAAATATATTCAGAAATTTTGTGGGGAAACCTCTATGAAAGCAGTCACTTGGAAGGCCAGGAAGGAGATGGATGGATAATACTGTAGCATATAGATCCTTTGCTGGGTAACAACCGTGAAACAACACCCGTTGCTAGGCAGCAGATTTTTAATAAGCAAATATACGAGGGGGAACCCAAAAATAACCGGAAACGACCTGTTGCGCGTGCATGCTTTGTAGTTATGAGTTGTGCTGCTAGGTGGTGTTAGCTGGGGGTCTCCCGCGACTGTTAGTGAGCTGGCGTTAGTCTGAGTTAAGTGGTTTGTCTGTGGTGCTCTGTTGTGTGCGTTCCTGTTTCAACCCTTTGGCGATTAGTGAGATGGCCGACCAGAAGGAACAAAGAGTGTGCGTGAAATTTTGCTTTCTGTTAGGGAAAACTGCACTTCACTCTTCAAGTCGCGGCAAACATTCACGCGGTTTTCTCTTTGGTCACTTCCGAGCAAGCGAGGAACAAATTTTGCAGACACCCGTCTCATGTGCAAACCTTCGGTTAAAATTCGCTGGACCGTGCTCCATGAGATGTTCGTTTCCTCAGAAAGTTGGTCAATGGTCTTTCGACGATCTTCATCAATTTCACGCACACTCTTTGTTCCTTCTGGTCGGCCATCTCACTAATCGCCAAAGGGTTGAAACAGGAACGCACACAACAGAGCACCACAGACAAACCACTTAACTCAGACTGACGCCAGCTCACTAACAGTCGCGGGAGACCCCCAGCTAACACCACCTAGCAGCACAACTCGTAATTACAAAGCATGCGCGCGCAACAGGTCGTTTCCGGTTATTTTTGGGTCCCCCTTCGTAGATGGCCGCTGCTGAGGAATGGCTTGGTAAACGCGTGTCTGCGGCAATGGATACACATGTAACAATGGAGTTACTGTTGGAAATGGGGTTTTCTACTTGTGGTCTGTGCCAAAGGGTTATAAAGAATACAGTTGAAGCAGCCAAGTCAGTTCTGTATGGGAGCCTGTGAAGAAAAGTGTTCAGTTGGAAAGGAGCCGTTGTTCAGAGAGGACTTGAGCCTGAAAGCAGCCATTGTTAGAAGCTGATACCAGGCAACTACTAGTGAAGACACTGTGGGCTGGAGAAGACTTGGCATGATTTTTTTAATTGTGGAAATAGTGATAGTGTTATAGTTATTTGTAGTTATGACCTGTAAGTGGTCACTAAATCCAGTTAGCCAAAACCCTGCCTGTAGTCATTCATACACGTGACAATACTAAGATTAATGGTGAAGACTGGAAGTGGATAAACTGTCTCAAAATGATACTTAAATGGTGGACAACAGTATTAGCAATGTTAAACCTTTTAGTTCTGCTAGTAGATACTTATTATGTTGGAGCTGTAGTTCTCACATCTGTGAACTACATGGTGTTACAACCCAGATGATTATACTCTTCAGGTACTTATTAATTTACAAGTTTAACTATTTAATTTCCTAAGCCTAGAAATAAACAGCTTCGCTTCCTCTTTCTGAAAATGCATGTAGCATTTTGCAGGATTGCAACAGGATTTTGTGAACAAAAGTGTATCAATATGACAGACATGATAAGTGAAAAATGAATACCAGAAGACAAAATTTGTTCTAAAGTACGGTTATAATTTGTTCATTTAGATTGATGAGTTGGTGATGAAAGCCTGCAGCAAACATCTTCGAAGTTGTTGCGGAGATTGTTTAGACAAATTAAAGGGCGATAATTATGAGGTAAATATTCATACTGATGTTAAATATTAAACAACAGTCTTAATAAGAATTATGAAATAGCATTAAAACACTCTTCTAAGCAAATGATTCTGTGGCCAGAGTAATAGTAGTTTTATTGTTATTGTTATCATTATTAAAATTGTCATAATTATCTTTAATATAATTGTCATCGTCACTGAATAAAGGTTGATATCTACTGATTAGTTCCCCCCCTGGTTCTTAGTCTTGAGACCGACTATACTGACTTGTATTTTTTCATGGTTTTCCTGATTTTCCCAAGGCACACACTTGATAGTATCTTCAAATTCAGATAGGTTACAACAGATTCCTTCTACATCCTTACCGATTCACAATCAACCTGCCAGTCATCAGACATCACAGTTGAGTGAGTAGCACCTCTACTTTATTTTCAGTAGGTTTCAGCTTTAAGTGTAGGCCCAAGACTGGCAATCCTGCCAGTTGCCCCAGGCAAATGTCAGGATAGTACCGCAAGTTAGGCACACACTTGATAGTATCTTCAAATTCAGATAGGTTACAACAGATTCCTTCTACATCCTTACCGATTCACAATCAACCTGCCAGTCATCAGACATCACAGTTGAGTGAGTAGCACCTCTACTTTATTTTCAGTAGGTTTCAGCTTTAAGTGTAGGCCCAAGACTGGCAATCCTGCCAGTTGCCCCAGGCAAATGTCAGGATAGTACCGCAAGTTAGGCACACACTTGATAGTATCTTCAAATTCAGATAGGTTACAACAGATTCCTTCTACATCCTTACCGATTCACAATCAACCTGCCAGTCATCAGACATCACAGTTGAGTGAGTAGCACCTCTACTTTATTTTCAGTAGGTTTCAGCTTTAAGTGTAGGCCCAAGACTGGCAATCCTGCCAGTTGCCCCAGGCAAATGTCAGGATAGTACCGCAAGTTAGGCACACACTTGATAGTATCTTCAAATTCAGATAGGTTACAACAGATTCCTTCTACATCCTTACCGATTCACAATCAACCTGCCAGTCATCAGACATCACAGTTGAGTGAGTAGCACCTCTACTTTATTTTCAGTAGGTTTCAGCTTTAAGTGTAGGCCCAAGACTGGCAATCCTGCCAGTTGCCCCAGGCAAATGTCAGGATAGTACCGCAAGTTAGGCACACACTTGATAGTATCTTCAAATTCAGATAGGTTACAACAGATTCCTTCTACATCCTTACCGATTCACAATCAACCTGCCAGTCATCAGACATCACAGTTGAGTGAGTAGCACCTCTACTTTATTTTCAGTAGGTTTCAGCTTTAAGTGTAGGCCCAAGACTGGCAATCCTGCCAGTTGCCCCAGGCAAATGTCAGGATAGTACCGCAAGTTAGGTGTGCCTGCTTCCTTCCACATCCTTTCTAATTCGTTATTCATCGATCATCTAATCATTATGAAGTATGAGCTACTGACATTACATAAACCATAAATAAAAAAAAGTCTACCATTCAGAACTGTACACTGTGTGTCACAAAATAACCAGCAATCAATCAACCTGTCAATCATATTGTTTGCAAGTACTGGAATATTAATTATATGATTCAGTTTATGAATGTGTCTTTTCCTGGTTCCTTTTTCAGATTATTGTCGATGACTGTGTAGAAATATTAAAGCAGTTCATTGCAGAAGGTCGCAAGTTTGATTATGTATTTGGGGACTTGACTGACATCCCTTTATCAGCGACCCCACAGGGAGAAATATGGGACTTCATAAGGCTCATTCTCAACTCTTCAATGATGATTCTAAAGCCACAGGGGAAGTACATGACACATGTAAGCATAAATAGTTCATGTCTACCTCCAGGCAAATACTGGGCTAGTATGTTGAAATAGACCATGATTGCCTCCTGCCAAATCCATACGTACCCACAATTTATAATCATGTTCCCATCTCGTTTGGCACTGATACAACCTATGATAAATGAAAACTAAATCCTGATCCTTGATTTAATATTGTTGTCATTAATTCTTACCAGGGAAATGGAGCATCTTGTCCAGAATCTCTAAGAATGTTTGAAGAGCAGTTACAGAAACTTAATGTTCCTGTGGAATTCTCCAGAGCACATGCTTTTGTGCCATCCTTTATGGAAGACTGGGTGTTTTATCAGGTGTGGCAGAAGCAAAACTAGCAGACAGCTAGCAACATACTGATATACAGTAAGGAGAGTGTTAAGAACCGTTTTTGTAGGAGAGTAATGATCCCATCAGGTATTGATTTATGCAGTTTGTCAGATCATGTAACAGAGAAATGTCAATGGAATTTAGTTGTGTTGTTAAAAAATAAGATGTCATACAGTTGGTTGCATTGCACCAGAAAGGACAAATTTTCTAATTTTGTACACTGGCTGGGAAGTAGCAAAATTTACGATTTGTCAAGGTGGCCTTGGGAAATGAGATAACAGTGAATTCTGATTGTGGGAGGAAGAGGAGAGGACAAAGATAAGAATTCTGAATTTACAGGTAAACAAGATGAGGATGATCTGTGATTTGACTATATTTATGAAGAAGAAGGAACTTAGCCACATGAAGTAACCAATTATGGCTGGAAGTACTGCCAGTTAAAATTCCTTTTATACTGTGTATAAAATAATCTTAATTTTTGTAAAATTGACTACAGAACCATTACTTCTTTCACCCCCATCTGTCTCTCACACAGATGCCATATTATCACTGCATTTCAAACCATCAGTATAAATGTCATGAAAGTACTAGCTTCCTACCTTGTTCTGTCTGGTAACAGGATCTGTGAATGGCAAGCAGACTTATTAACATGGGTCAGTACTGACATTTAAGAAGAACAGTGCCTCCAACTTCAGGGTAAAAGCAACCCAGATTTGGAAGTCTTATTTCACACTAAACAACATCTTTAGTAGTTGGTACCATTAAATAGCCCACAAAACAACCTCTTAACACTTTGCGGACCGCACACCCTTTAAAAGGTTTTTCGCTTTTAAACATGACGAACCATTCGCGTGTTAACAGGCTTTTAGAACACAATAAGTTGCAACACACTATACATAGCTCTGGCGCCACCTACATTGCACGCAACCGCCTGCAGATGCGTGATAAGTCTCTGGAATGTTTAGTTAGCAGTCAGTAACTTGACCTCGCTGTTTACTTAACCAACTATAAAGGAAAATGCTTTGCCTTCTTCAAGCTGTATGTATCAGCCAGTAGCTAGTGGGGAGAATGGATCAAGGACAAATTCTCCAATGACCTGGCTGACCTGCCTTGTGAGACGCATAGTAATGGATTAATTGTCATTCAGACAGCGACAGTGATGGGGGACAACAAAGAATTGTGGCCACAGACAGTAAAAGTGACAGTAGTTCCAACGATAATGCGGGTAATAACATTGCGTGTAGTAACATTGCGGGGACAGCAAAAAATCTAAACCCTGATTCAGAATTGAAATACAAAGCATTTCTGATTAATGTGGCAAAGGCCTGGGCTACAGTCCAGATGGTGGCGGCAGAACCAGGGTCATACAAAGACTTAGTACAACCGGGCCCATCAACTCCCACCCCACGAAGGCCTCATGTGGACCCCCTAGGGCGACTCTTGAGTGATATGCGGAAAAATACCCTCGGGAAAATTGTGAAGAGTGAACATTCCAAGGGGAAGAATACTTCTAGGCAATGCCGTGTTTGCCCAGTTCACAAAAAAAGGAGTATGTCTACATTTGCAAGTTCTGTGTAATGCCACTTCACAAAGGGGAATGTTTCCAGAAATATCACACCCTCAAGCACTTCTAGGAGCATTGGTAAGTGTTCTCCAAAAATTTTAGTTCAAAAAATTAATTAGGAGATTTTATATTAATTTTGAAGTGAACAGTGCACAAGTTAGGGTAGTATGTTTAAAAATGTCGGTCCCCAGGGTGATTTAAATATTTAAATCACCGGTCCGCGAAGTGTTAAGTGTTTGATTTGTGTTTCTACTGTAATTATCTAAATGTTAAGTTTTCTCTGCATAAGGACTTCTTAAGTATAAGCTAGGACAGCTCAGCCAGTGACTGACTGCAGGTTGGATGGATGGATTTTGATTACAAGCAGGGGTAGAACCTTCATGAATTCATATTTTTAAATTGGTAAGGGTAAAATGTGGACATGATTTTTTTAACATAACATAGATCTACAGAGCTGACTTTCATAGCCGATCCACAATTCATCTTCCAGAAACTATTTGCATTTCACATGGTGTCATAAACTTGTTATATTTTAGCGTCCTGTTGCACCGACTCATGTCCATGATTTATGCTGTCTTACAGTGCATACACTTTTTCCCCTTACTCTTCTCTTCTGCACTACAGTAGTATAACACACGCAGTCACAGGAGCAAGACCCAACAAAGAGCACAATACACATGAATGTAGGAAGAGTGCTCCCACAGAGGTGGTTTGGCGTGATTCGCGTATTGAGATATGATGTAAGGATGACGATTCCTGAAAAGTTTTAATATTTAAAATCTATTATTATATATGACAAATATATATTTTAGTCATTTTAGTGTGAAGACATCAGGGCATGCAATGCAGTAGTTAGACATGCATAAAAAAAAGCACCCAAAGATGGCACATTAGTGCCGAAACATGTAGTGCAAAAGAGAAGAATAAGGTGAAAAATTGTATGCACTGTAAGACGGTTAGCATAAATCATGATCATAAACTTAATCACTTGGCAACTTATGAAACTATAGTTTATGTTCCATTTGGTATGAATATAAATTTTTGTGGGACAGTCTGTTTAAAATACATTTTTAAGATGGTATTCTTCATTATAAGATTGTATATCAAAACGATATGTGATGCTGCTGACACTGCTAAACATGAAGAAATGTATACAGACAGAATTGCAATAACTGTGTCAAATTCTGTACATCTTTCACATTCAACAAATAAAAGTCTGTGGACATTTCTAAAGGGAAGCAAAGTGAATAACAGGCTGCATCATTCCACCTCCACATAAAATGTATCTGGCCATCCAAGCCATACATAACACAAGATATAATCAGCACTTCCATAATATTTGACAGAATGTGATACACAGTATCTAGCCTAGGCTTGCCCCCTCTGAACACACCATTCATGTTTGAGAGTAAGTATGAAGCTGTGCTCAAGCATGTCTTGTTTTCTAGTGATCTGGATTATGACACATACAGTCTGTTACAACTCTCTTCAAATCACATGTTCCAATTGTCATTTGCATCTTGCATAGGGGAATGAAAAGTTAGATCAGCCCTCTTCCCAACCCTTTTCAGACAAACAATAAGTCCATGTTTTACCCAATTATAATATTTCACAGGAAACTGTTAATTTACATTATTTAATGTTAAAGATAAATATCCTAGGAACAGCCAATATGTGAAAGGACACCATCCCTATCAAAGCATGGTAAAACATAATAAAATATTAGACAGGTTTCTAACAAAAATGAGGTATATGCAGAAATGAAATTATAATTACATATAAATGGAACAGTACTTCATTTTGTGACTGATCAAGCAACAGGAAGATTTTTATAAAGGACTTACAACTTCCCTGAAATAGAAAATAAAACTGACTGAATTTCTGGAATGGGTTATATGACATTTCTTCTGGCTATCCCATCACAACATGCTGTATTTGGAGGATATGTTAATGTGCAACTGGCAGACACAAGAAGTCCAGACTATGTAACAAATAAGTCTTTGTCTGTGTCCCCTTCGACAAAGGAATTCATTGGTATCATTTCCAACTAAAATATGCAGATACAGAAAAATGGAGGAGAGTCAATAATAGTTGAACCTAACCTTTGCCATCCTGTATGCTGTAAACATACTTGGTGCCTCTAACATTTTGTTAGGTGTCCAAAATCTGATTGCACCAATGGTTCCAGTGTCTGCTTTGGTATTCTGTTTTTCCTTCATTCTCTATATTTGTTGTAGATAATTACTTTGTGGGTGATCTAATATATTAAAAAATACACAGACATTACTGTCATATTTCAGAGTTCTTTTGTTGTGATATGTATTTTTATTCTCTGTATAATGTCATTTATTTTGTAATGATATTGTAATTTTATTTCTGGGTACCTTAAGTGGACTGAAATAAGGTACTAGGCTTCAGTTCTCATGCTTATTCAGTAATTTTATTTTTCTGTCTGCATATTTTACACAATTATTTAGTACATTGCATGAACATAAGTTATGTCATAGGTTCTGCAGAAGTGAGAAATTTAATGTTTCAATGTCATGTCTGTTCTTTGAGTGTTTATAATATGTTGATGTGGATGTGTGAAGTGTAGTTAATATTTATCATGTGCTGTGACATAGTTTATAAAGATTTGGAAGGAAGGAACATGTTCCTGTAGACCAGTTCAGTAAAATTGTGTCAAGGTCTATAATCTGTAACTAGCAAGATAGCCCAAATGAATACTTGGTAAGTCTGTGTGGCTGTATCACTGCAATATACTTGTATATCTATGACTGAATTCACATCACTGTGAATACCATAAGACATATTTGAGAAAACTCTGTCTGTATGTGCCTCCTGTTAGTTTCAAGTATATTCAGCAACAAGATAATATTGATTGTGGTGCATGTGTATGCCTGATGCCATTACTCACATTGGTAGCAGATCCTGCTAGGAAATACACAGAAATGTATTAGATATGACTTGAAATTCTACTGGGAAATGTATCTTCACAGATGGCCTGCATAAAGTGGGATCTACAGTTATTTTGTCCATCAAGACTTATAAACTTGTTCATTGATATTGTTGACATCATTTCCTGAGCATAAAATCTCTTTATTAGTGTAATTTATGGAATCAGTTACAAATGTATTCTTTCCTGGCATTTCCTTTAGTGTTGCATTGCACATAAGGTCTTGGGGTGGGGGACTAGCAGCAATGTTATAGCTTAAATATGTGTGGATGAAATCACCCTTTATTGTAACAAACCTTGAAAGTTTGCTCCTTCTACATAATTCCATTCTTAGTTGAAATGCTATTTTGTTCAAATAAAGAATGGCTTTCTCTGGTCAGCCTGTAACACAGGATTCCTGTATTAACATTTTCAGTTTACCGTTGATTTCAGCAGACCATTCCATAATAAGATATAAATATCAAATATAAGATGGCTCATCACATCTCTCAATTTCATTTTTTATTCAGCTTCTGCATTTGAATCAGCATTGTCAAGTAAACTAAAAATTGGGTAACATTGTTTAAGGTATGCATTGTATATAATGTAATGAGCCACAGTCAGGTTTACATTATACAAGATATTTAAGGTTTTATAGTTAATAAGCCTATGAAATCTTTATGTACACTTTGATTATCGGAGAGTTACACAAAAATCATTCATGCATTCAGCAGGATAGACTGGCACTCTATGCAGCATCTCAGGCTGCAAAGAACAAACTAAGAGCCTATACACATTATAATTTTTCTTCAGCATTTCCCCACTATATCTTTTAACATTTACGACTAGGCAAGCTTATATGTGCTCTGTTTCAGAGAGCCGTTGGTATCTTAAAATGATTTTCATTTGAGGAGTTCTGTGGAAATTCATATGGGCATTTTTTGAAAGCCCACTGTCCTGTACATTGCATCAGAGAGATTTTGGAGGAACATGTTCAGACTTAGCATCAATTTGGTTTCTTCCAGTTTCCCTTTTCATTGAGCACGTGGTGTCGAAGTGTATGTGGATCCCCCCCCAAATGGCCCTGCCCATCTTCCTAGTCTGAGATCAGTTTTTTTTATTTGGAACATCCTGAAGAGTATGCTAAAATCTCCTTTTCTTAGATATCCACTTTACAAGTAGGTATTGTACATGAACACTAGTTCAGGAATGTATCTCACACATCATTAGAACACAAACTGACATGACTGACTCAGTTTGTAAGTATGGTATGAGGTACTTTGGATTGCAGTCAGCCAGCACTTATTGCATAAACCCACTTCATGGTAGCTGTTAATTGATGTAGTAAGGCAGTACTGAAGAGACAGTGTAAATTGTAATATGGCTATGCCTTTCGTTTGACAAATCGGCTACCAGCCCAAATCTATGCTGTTGCAGTTGACACAAGAAAT